TCCCTGCAGAAAAGACTTATTTGTGCTTTTCTGCCTAGTGTTCGGTAGATTCAATCTACCGAACAACCGCACGAATGACTAGACTACCTGGGAGCTGGAGTGTGCCGGCAATTAGCCTCCCAGAAGCTGCGGTTAACCGCAGCTTAATTGACGAATACTGGGTGGCCGCCAATCGTATCACGAACACGAGGTCACGGCCATTTTAAACACGCGAACGCACAGCGGTGTTTGACGCCTAACTCATGGAACTAAAAACGGACACAGTTTGGCGCGAACACTGCTGAAGCCACCGACCTCCCTTCTTGTTCGGCGGAAGTGCACGAATGGCCCGGTGTTCGGTAGCTTTACCTGACTGTATTATACCCCAGATAGGAATCCCATGGAGCTCATTCGTATGAGAACTATCTTTGTAAAGACTTTGGCTCCATGGCGATTGAACTGTATTCGTGTGGTCTGAGCGCCATTCGCTTCATAATGTGCGCTCAGACCTGAGCTATCTGGGGACATGTTAAATGTATAGTTTTAATGTAATGTGTCTTACATAGTGTATTTTAATAATAATTCTTGTGTTAGTATCCCCATGTGCATAATGGCGATTTGCCTTTGTCCTGGGAGATAATTAAATTACTTCTCAATTATCTCCAGGGCAGAGGGGAGGAAGCCAGGATGCATTGTGGGAATACAATGTGACTGTGTGTCCTATTTGGCTACTTGTCTGTCCCTTGTCACAGTCTCCCATTTGGTCCCCTAGGGGAGTGTCCACCAGGTGGGAGACCTGCATAAATACTGGGCAGGTAGCCCTCATTAAACAGACCACTGCTTGACCCTCAACACGGAGCCTTGTCTCGTCTTTGGGGGGATTTACTGAATGCTGATAGAGACTGATTGCTAGGAGTGTAAGCCGCTTGGATGCTTTTCCTATTCGTCTGCTAGCAGCGATTCGTATGGTTCCAGTTCGTGAGTTTGGAGTGTTACATGGTATGCCGTTCGGGAGTTTGGAGCATTCCCTTACATGCGGTTCGTGTGTTTGGGTGTTCTACAGTAGCTGTGCCTGCATCTCTGAAAGGGAACAATCGCCTAAACGGTTTTAACCCCTTGTGTGCTGAAACGGTCCGTTACAATACATAACCAGACCGAGTGAGCATCGTCCATCCTCTTATGAATTAAAAGAAAATTGCGGGGGAGGATAAAGTACTTGATTCCTAAGGATTTCAAGTGTCTCATCTGTAACTTTATTCTATAAGCTACCAGATAACCCTATTGATACGTCTCCAGAACTCTGCTTGAATTAATTTTTGCCCCGCATTTAAAGCTAATATATCATAGAATGTACAAGGGGGCATTCAATAATGGAAAATTAAATAATAATGTAATAAATAATAAAATAATAAATAAAAGATTTCAGAATTCTATGAAAATTCCATTCAACAATTATATACAATATTTACATACTTTCATAAAGGACTTATTTGAATTTATTAGATGTATATGTGACAAGGCTAAAGTAAATTGAAACAGAACTTTAATCACAAATGTTATTCCAAAAATGTGAACCCTTCATTCAGGCCAAGGGGTGCTAGGGTAATCTATAAATCCAATAACATTCCCTTCTCTTCAGTAGGCGATCCAAATCCCCTCCTCTTTGTTGGAGTTTCACATGTTCAATCCCTGCAAAATGTAGATCCTGAGATAAGCCTGAATGATGTTCCCATAGATGTCTTGAAATTGGTGTGTCATTTTTATATCCCATGTAGCCGATATGTTCCAAAATACATAGTTTAAATTGTCTAAAGGTTTTTCCAACTTATTTTTTTCCGCAGGAACAGTTAAAAAGATAAACCACTCCTGTTCATTTGCAATTAAAAAAGTTGCTGTAATGAAGCCGAAGAGCGACCTGAGCACCAATGTAAATTCAGTTCACAGCAGTTACCGTGTCAAAAGTTAGCCATGGCTGGTAATTAAAGAGTTGGCAATAGTGCTGCATTTGATATAACAGGAACAGTCATATCTTTTTGCCCCCATCTGGCTATTTTTTCCAAAATGTTTGAAGCATACCTGTACAGCTGAAGTAGACTATTTCAGGACTTTTTTTTCTTATCTGTTTGGCCACTTTACTGAGGAACTTGTCAACTTGTCAACTTGCTCGGATGACATTTACCCTTTGTGGCAAGGTTGGAGAGTATACAATATATTAATATCATTAATGGTCATCCTGGAGTAGTCTGGACTTCACATTCCACATCATTCCATGGAGACTGTTCCCCTCAAATTACTGAGGATTCTAACATGTGGTTTAGAGCAGGAAGACTGCTAGCCACATGAATCATGTTCATTTGCGGGAAAACATGAGGTAGGGGATCAAGAAAAGCTTTTTCAGATACTTTAAAGTGTGAGTCATATCCACACAAGGAAAGGGTCATGGGAACGTTGATGTAGTTGGACAATTCATAGTATTAAAAGGGCATTTAAATGTTTAAGGTGTAATTTGGCCCATATGTAGATGTATGTATAAAGATGTATCTGAGATAAAAGACTGTTCCAGAGACAGAAAGCTGAAACATTTACAGGGTAATTCACATACAGTGAAAATGGCTAAATTCCATTGAAGATTTTTTTTTATCAAGTTCAGCCTTTCTCACTTCTGCGTTTGCTGTTCATCCAAAAGAAGTAAAAAAAAAAAAAAGTTTGAAGACCTTTCCAATCTTGCAAAAAAACTATAGAAAAAAAAACCTTCTCGACACCAGAGCAGCTGTCAGACCTTGGGTTAATAAGCTATCTTGAATATAATATCCCTGAATACTATGATGTTACAAGAATTCACCCACTTGCTATTTAAAAATTTGATCATTATCCCCATTAAAGTGCTGTTTTTTCTGAACTAAGATTTAAATTTGTTAGTTCATAACTAAAATCTTCTATTCCCCTTATATATTTTGACCCCCTCTTCCCGACCAACCTCCACCCAAACAGTGGGGAGCTATTATGATACGACGGGGACTTCGTGTCCCCCTCTCCCCACAGCGGGAGTGACTTCCAATAAAATATTCAAGGGAGTGGAAATACCATTGTCCAACCCCTCTCCCTCAAATTAGTGCCATTATCCCACCTTTATAAAGACTTTCCAGGCTTTAAATTTTCATTAGAGCACTCTGACAGGCATGTCTCACTTCTCTTCTAACATACCATGACATATGAGGTATTACTTTTATTGGCCAGTCTCATTATTATTAGGGCAAGGTATAAAAGTTTAGTTTAGTATAAAAGGAAAATGGCACTTATAATGGGATATTTTATAGTTAGCTCCCCATCTGCAGCTCGTGCCCCTTCTTTTTTATTTTAAATTAATAGGCTTTCCACCGGCCAAGATTGGGGGAAATGGGGTTGAATACTAACTAGGTCCCCCCATATTATAATTAGAAGTCCCCATCATGGGTGGAAGTTGGGGGGAGACATTAGTATGTCTTACCCCTCCCCCTGTTTTTTTTACTTTATGAGTGGGTGAAGGAGGGACATCAAGATGTCCATGTTTTTTTACATTTATTACCCCTACTCATTGGCCATGGATAGGGAAAGTGGGTGAACCGTGATTTGTTCACCCCCATTATTTAATTTAAAGTCTCCCACCTGAAGCCCATGAGGAGACTAGATCACCTACGTTATTTACAATCCCCATCCCTGTGACTGAGCAGCAATTGCTGCCTAGTTTCAATAATTTTATCAGATTGAGCAGCCACAAGCTGACCAATGTTTAGTAGATATACCCCCACCCATGATATGGCAGGCTTATAACTTCCCTTACACTAATATGTAGCTTGTATTGTTTACTACAGGCTTTTTAATTGATTTTAAATATATATATTTTATATGGTGGCCGACTAGCAAGCCTGGCCAGCTGCCACATAATTAACTCTAGCAATGCCAAGGGGTTATTAATAATTTGCCCACTGGTGCTGGTGCAAGTTTGGATTTTTTTTAGATCTGGGTCTTTATTGATTAGCCCTGTTAGTATATGCTAGATTTTTGAGCTAGCCGCTTAGTAAAATTTAAAGGGGAACTGTCACTTCCCAGGATTTAAAAAAAAATACGTTTTGAGAGGTTTGAAAAATGAAATCAAATGTAGAAATGTATATGTCAATCATTGTGCCTCCATCATAGCTCTTTGTTAATCATCTTTGTAATATTGTCTTTTAATACTATTCACCATGGATATTGGAAGAGAAGAAACTGAAACACTGTTTCCTTTCCCTGCATTGGAAATGCTTTTCCCTGGCTGTGCCTGCAATGAACTGGATTGTGATCTATTTACTAAATCTAATATCAGACCCGGACTGGCCATTGGGCACACCGGGCAAATGCCCGGTGGGCCACGGTGGCCATGGGCTGAGGCCGGAAGGGGAGGTCACAAGATCTCCCCAGCCTGTCCATGCAGGGACCGCACTATCCGAGCGCAGGCCGCAGAGAACCCGACACACCTATACATGGGTGGTATCACTGTACATAGGAGATGTTGCTAAAACCCCTTCAGCCACTTACATTAATCCATCGCCGGGTCCCTTGGCGCTGATGACCTTTCCTCCCCCACCGATGTCAGCTCCCGAGTGGAGCAGAAAGCGCAAACCCACCTATAGGAAAGCATTACTAAAAGTTAGAAAAAGTGTGTGTTTTTTTTAATCTTTCATCATATTTTATAATTTTCTTTATAGTAAATTATGTGATATGATGAAAATAATGGTATCTTTAGAAAGACCATTTAATGGCGAGAAAAACGGTATATAATATGCGTGGGAGTAAATGAGTAAGAGGAAAATTACAGCTAAACACAAACACCGCAGAAATGTAAAAACAGCCTTGGTCCTTAACGGTAAGAAAATTGAAAAACAGTCTGGTCACTAAGGGGTTAAAGGCAAACTATATTCAGCAGAACCACTACCGCTTGATGTTCCTGCAGGCTGAGCACTGTAAACACTGCCTTTTCAAAGAAAAGACAGTGTTTACATTGCTACCTAGTAACATCTCCCCTGGTGTGCAGCACTGAGAGGTACTTCCTATCTCAGTGCTGCACGCCAGAGGAGGTGTGGCTAGGGCTGCATAAGAAGAAACAAAAGTAATTTAACTTGTAAATGGCAGAGAATTGAGCAGCGATATTGCAGTGGTATGATCTATACACAAAAACGGCTTCATTAAGCCAGGGCCGTCTTTCCACATGGGCCCCGCTGGGCACTTACCCAGGGACCCCACAAGCATAGGGGCCCCACAGCGTTGCCTATATACCATGCCCTCGGAGAGCTGGCCCTGCTTACATGTTTTGTGCCCTCACGGGCTGGTGGGGAGATCAAAGATCTCCATCACTGGCCAAAAGGTCCTTCGTGAGAGAGAGGGAGGGAGAGAGGACCTGGGAGGTAGTTACTCCCGCAAGCACGCTGGTCTAAGCATTCTGCTTGCGGGAGGAGTGAAGATAGCCTGCTCTTGAAGTAGCTGCAGGCTGTAGGTACTACTCACCACCAGACCACAAGGGTTGGCAGTGTCCCCCTCCTCCCACCAGAGGTAAGAAGAAGGGTGGGGAGACATGAAGTTTTTTTTTTATAAAAAAAACAAAAATCCCTTTTCCCTATGCACCACCCCCTCACATACACACACAGCATCCCTCTCACAAACAGCACCCCTCACACACACACACACACAGAACCCCTCACACACACACAGCACCCCTCACACACACAAATCACCCCTCTCACACACACAGCACACCTCTCTCACACGTATGTGTATGTATTCAGCAGTCTGTGTACATGTATTCAGCAGTCTGCATGCATGTATTCAGCACTCTGTGTGTATGTATACAGCAGCCTATGTGTATTCAGCAGTCCGTGTGTGTGTATTTAGCAGTCTTTATGTGTGTTCAAGAGCCTCTGGGTGTATACAGCAGCCTCTGAATTCTGTGTTTGTGCATTCAGCATTGTGTGTGTGTGGATTCAGCAGTCCATGTGTGTATTGAGCAGTCTGCATGCATGTATTCAGCAGTCTGCATGTAAGCAGCAGTCTGTATGTGTGTATATTAAGCAGTCTGTTTATGCATTTAGTGGTCTGTGTGTGTATTCAGCAGCCTGTGTGTGTGTATTCAGCAGTCTATGTGTGTGTGTGTGTATGTATTTAGTATTCTGTGTGTATGTATTCTGTAGTGTGTGTGTATATTCAGCAGTCCGTGTGTGTATCTAGTAGTACATGTGTGTGTTCAACAGTCCGTGTGTGTATTCAGCAGTCCGTGTGTGTATTCAACAGTCTGTGTGTATGTATTTAGCAGCCTGTGTGTATTCAGCAGCCTGTGTGTGTATACAGCAGCCTGTGTGTATGTATTCAGCAGCCTGTGTATTTTGCATTCTGTGTGTGTATTCAGCAGTCTGTGTGTATTGTATGAATGTATTGCATTTGTTGTAGGTACCAATAAATATAAGCTTCATTTTATCGATAATTTAAATTTTTATTCCTGTGACTGGTTGTGTAGGCATAATGTTGTTAAGATGGCACTGCTTTAAGCTAAAGTTGTTTAGGTGACTATATTGTCCTATAAATATAGTGGTGCTGATGTCTATATCCTGTCCCTGCAGGTCTAGCAATGAAAATGCTGCCTTTTCAGAGAAAAAGTAGTATTTATATTGCTGCCTAGTAACAATTCTAGTGTCAGTCACCAAGACAACGACTAGAGATGCTTCCTAGTCCAGTGTAGACGTTAAACGCTCCCTGTGGAGATGCATTGATTCAATGCATCTGTATGAGGAGATGCTTATTGGCGCAGCATTTTGCTGCGCATACGCAGTAGCCTCCCAAAACTATCCTAGGAGAAAACATTGGATTGACTGAGATCATCAAAACTGATTATCTCAGCCATGTAGGCGGAGACAGGCAGGGCCGGTCTCGCAGATCTTATCGCAGCGGGGGGAAAAAGGAAATGTAAACACCTTTTTACTGTGATCTAAAGGGGGCATGGACCTAAATTGTTAGTTTAACACTATAGTGTCAGGAATACATGTTTGTATTCCTGACATTATAGTTTTGCTTTAATGTTATTGGAGTCTATGTCTAACATGCTTTTTTCTATATGGAGAAAGAGTTGGTTTCGTTCGGTTCCTGTACAGGAGTCAACTCTGTGTGGGGGTCTGCAATGCACTGGTAGCATTGAAATGTATGCCTCCTGTCACACTTTTGGCGGTATAGTCCAGATTTTGGGGTGAAGTCCCACCATCCTGTTGGAGTAGCAAAGTGCAAGCACATCATTAAACGTATTTGTGATATGCAGCAGGCACTAGGTCCATGCAAGGAGCGCTTCAGCAGGGCTGACCAAGTAGACTGTCAGTTTGCGAGCCTGCGTTTTATCCGGCTGACCAACATTTTCTTGCAAGACTTCCCCTGTTATGTGTGGCCCCTTTCATTGTGGGCATCACTAGTGACACGGTGCTCCACTCATCCCAAGTTGCACTGGCAACATGTTGGGAGGCATAGAAATATATGGTGCACCAATCTGAGGTTCCTGCGAACTATACTTGTAGAAAGTCAATCAAATCACTGTTTAAAGTCACTCTATGTACATTTTATACACCTGCCAGGAACAGTTACTTCAGGTCATCTGTAACTTTCTTTCCATCTGTAATTTAAAATCCAGGTCCTTGGTGTCAAATACGAACTTCAGTGAAATTCTAACACAGGTAATATGAGTATTGATCTTTTGGAAATATACATTTTTGATGTGGGGTGTGACAAAGCTTCTTTAACACTGAATGGAGACACAATGCCTAAGGACTCCAGGCACTATAACCAAATAATGAAATAGTTATAAAGCAAACATTGTCACTTTAAGATCATAAACAAATTCCTACGCAGGGGACCCAGAGCTCTGTTCAGCTTGTCATGTATGATGGATAAAATGGTTTGGACATTAAAAGCTGTTTGACTTAGAATTAATGGATTACTACATCAGAGTTGTGGACTATGGTGACGCTTTATAAATACATGTAATAATATTAATAATAATATTTAAAAGGAGCATTTGTGTTCAAGCAGTGTTAATTTTATTGACTAACAATTTTAGTCTACTAAAATTTTTGAGATTTAGTCGACTAAAACTAGACTAAAACTAAAAAAAAAAATTAACTAAAATGGCTTTTTAGTCAAAAGACTATGAGTAAAACTAAATTGAAATTTGCCCCCAAAATTACACTGCACAGAGAGACTGAGGAAGGGACAAAAGAGACAGACCAGGGCTTGAGAGAGAGACACCTGGAGGACACAAAGAGACACACTGGGGAAGGGGCAAAAGAGACAGATAGAGGCTTTAACTAAACCTATTAAATTTTAGTCGTGCCAACTAAAATCTACTGGAGATTTAGTCAACTAAAACTAGACTAAAGGTAAAGCAATTCAGATGACTAACACAAAAATGGCTTTTTAATCAAAAGACTATGAATAAAACTAAATTGAAATTTGCCTCCAAATTAAACACTGTATTCAAATAATATTAAATGTAGTGTGCAGTGTGACAAATTCTAGTTTACGTGTTATTGAAAAAATAAAGAAAAATAGTTGCTAGCTTCAAGAAATTTTGCACCAATTTTAGCTCCAGAAACAGAATTCTGTCTCAGAGGTATAATTCCAAAGCAAACATTCCATTCCCATCCTGTCCCTGTAATGGCCAACATATCCCCATATAAGCAGAAGGAACCCTATCACAATTGAAAGAATCCTATGGTTCTGTCTTTATTTTCATTTCTTGCACAAGGAAAAACACTTCTGTGAATTTGCCCCATGGGGTTCCCATATGCAGTTATTTCAGACCTTGGACTTCCACGCCCGGTCTGTCTTGTGCAATTGTAAAACTTCTGTTCAGGAAAAGACTCTGAGTCCCTCCCATAGAAATCTGTTTTTATTTTTCAGACTGGTGCATTTCTATTCAGAGTGCAGCTGTGTAAGGGAGCGGGGAGGGGGGAGAGAGAACAGGGAAGGGGGTACAGGATGATTAGAGTGGGGTAAGAAATCTTAAGTGAGGGGAAAAGGGCAGGTAAGGAAAAGGGAGAATATGCTGGGAAAAAAGTTTAAATAATAGATTGCCTTAAAACAATAAGAGAGATGTGAGAAAGGAGGAAATAGAATTACATGATAAATATTGGAATGTAAAAATAGTGAGTTGGAAGAAAGGAAAGGGATATTCACTTGGGGTCCAGGAGAACTGAGTAGTTTATTTAAGGGAGACATAGGGGTTACAGGCAAGTACCATAGTGATATCTTGTGACTCCCACATCATGGGCACCCAGGAATACTATCGGACAGACAGCACCGACTCCACTGTCACCATGCTCAAACCAGAGAAAGAGAGTGTCGTGGAAATAACAGAAAAGAAGACAAAGTATCTCCTAAGAAGAGAGTGCAGCACACTGTGGATGTCGGTGACAGTTGGAATTGCCATTCTCCTGGTGATAGTTAGTGACATTGCTTTGTTTATGCATTTCACCGCGGCCATCTCTAAGGTGAGGGTTTACCCATATGGAGTGAGATTGGAGGGCAATGCATGTACTTCGTGTCCGTCCGGTCCAGCTGTAACTAGAACCCACAGAAACTTGGGTGGTATATGTTTAACCCTGGCTGTGACTGGACTGGGAACTGCTGCTGTAATAAGATATTTCTCATGTGTATGTTGTATAAAATAATGAAAAATAATAATAATAATGTCAATGAAGTAGAGATTCTTAATGCATAGTGCACCTGTTCTAATTACTCTAATGAGATAATATGTAGCTTGTGTAATATATATATATATATATATATATATATACATATTGCATGCAACTGCTGTTATTTTAGTTTATGTACTGTGTGGATGGTAACATCATCCATGCAATTATTCTCCGTAAATAACATGCAATAATGTATGCATCATCTCCAAGACCCTAATCTTGGTTAGAACCAGACAGTCCAAGATTAGTGGGAGTTACACTCCAGATACTGCATACAAAACTCTACATTACCCTAACACTACTCACTAACACACTAAACTGCACTGCATACAAAACACCTCATTACCCTAACACTACCCACTAACACACTAAACTGCACTGCATACAAAACTCTACATTACCCTAACACTACTCACTAACACACTAAACTGCACTGCATACAAAACTCCTCATTACCCTAACACTACCCACTAACACACTAAACTGCACTGCATACACAACTCTACATTACCCTAACACTATTCACTAACACACTAAACTGCACTGCATACAATACTCTACATTACCCTAACACTACTCACTAACACACTAAACTGCACTGCATACAAAACTCTACATTACCCTAACACTACTCACTAACACACTAAACTGCACTGCATACAAAACTCTACATTACCCTAACACTACTCACTAACACACTAAACTGCATTGCATACAAAACTCTACATTACCCTAACACTACTCACTAACACACTAAACTACACTGCATACAAAACTCTACATTACCCTAACACTACTCACTAACACACTAAACTGCACTGCATACAAAACTCTACATTACCCTAACACTACTCACTAACACACTGAACTGCACTGCATACAAAACTCTACATTACCCTAACACTACTCACTAACACACTAAACTACACTGCATACAAAACTCTACATTACCCTAACACTGCACTAATCACTAGACATTAACCCCTAAAGTGCACTTACCCAAACCATGAACCCCTGCACAAGTATTCATTGACACTAGCCCTAACCTAATATATAGTGTAATTATGTAAAAGAGACATAATGGTAAAGCACGTTTTAGGGGAAAATAATGCCATCTCGGGGCTCTGTAGACATTTACAGACCCCCTTGACATTTGTTCTCTTGGTTTATAAAGATAATTCCAGAACCCCTATAAGCATCCTGAGAATATTTACATGAAGTAACCAAACCTGTATTTTGTTGAATACCAACTTTTGCTAAATTTAGAACAAAACAGCAAATGACTAGTAGTAGGAAATGTCCTCCATCTCAACTTTTTTGCTTCAGTTTGTTTTCAACACAGCACAATTACAAATATTAAGTGAATAAATCGCATAGAATCCCTGACAGTTCCATGTATGAACACACAGGATGATTTATTGGGGTTATTCACTAAAGCCATACTTCCTAACTGTCTTGGGTTCCTGAATTCAGGATCTTCTCCTGTCATTCCAGGTTTGCTCTCTGGTGTCTCCCCATCTGGTGGAACCAATAAGCAAATCCCTACAAGGCACATGTGCTGCCCTTAGAGGTGTTTGGTGAAACCACGCTGACATGTAAAAAAATGTCAGCCTTTTGACGCAACTAATAACACAGTCACAACCCTGCCTTGCATTGTTCTAGTTGCCTTGTTTCATACCTCACAACATTGGACTAAACCAGGAAATGTGGTGAATCAACAACAAATTTTTTTTTTATTTTAGGCCTAAAATAGCCAATTTGGAAAAATTCTCTAAGTCAGCTATTTCCCAGCTTGGCAATTTTGGCCTCAAGTTACAATTTCTTTTTCATTTCAGTCTTAATTCTCAGCGTAATGAATAATTCCTTTAGACGCCTTTTATCTACTCTTGCTTTGAATTTCTTATTATACAAGGAAGTTACAGCACTTTGCAAGCTTGCTATCAAGTTCAACCTTTGACCAGTTTTGTTTTTCCTTCAAGTCTTTCATTTCAGATGAGTTTAGATAGAACTGAAAATTTCCTTTGGATGCAGTCCTATGAAAGATTTTGTTAGCCGTATTAGATTTTTACATGAAAAAGAGGAACACAAATATTTATCTGAGAAATACTGTTGTAGAGATTCCCTCCCATTCTCATCCTTGCTCTGCAGGTGCACTCAATAGGACTACTAAATTGGCAATAATTTATATTAAAGAGGCACACCAGGCTGGAAATATTCTTTCTTAAAGGGACACTAGAGTCACCAGAACCAATACAGCTTAACCCCTTAAGGACAAATGACATGTGTGACATGTCATGATTCCCTTTTATTCCAGAAGTTTGGTCCTTAAAGGAACACTATAGTCACCTAAATTACTTTAGCTAAATAAAGCAGTTTTAGTGTATAGATCATTCCCCTGCAATTTCACTGCTCAATTCACTGTCATTTAGGAGTTAAATCACTTTGTTTCTGTTTATGCAGCCCTAGCCACACCTCCCCTGGCTGTGATTGACAGAGCCTGCATGAAAAAAAAAACTGGTTTCACTTTCAAACAGATGTAATTTACCTTAAATAATTGTATTTCAATATCTAAATTGAACTTTAATCACATACAGGAGGCTCTTGCAGGGTATAGCAAGCTATTAACATAGCAGGGGATAAGAAAATCTACATTAAACAGAACTTGCAATAAGGAAAGCCTAAATAGGGCTCTCTTTACAGGAAGTGTTTATGGAAGGCTGTGCAAGTCACATGCAGGGAGGTGTGACTAGGGTTCATAAACAAAGGGATTTAACTCCTAAATGGCAGAGGATTGAGCAATGAGGCTGCAGGGGCATGTTCTATACACCAAAACTGCTTCATTAAGCTAAAGTTGTTCAGGTGAATATAGTGTCCCTTTAAGGGGTTAAAGGAATACTATAGTGTCAGTACTACAAACACGTATTCCTGTCACTATAGTGCTGGAATGCAGCATTAGGTCCCTGGTCCCCATCTCTCTCGAAATTAAAGTTAATTTTACTCACCTTTTCTCCCATGCTGTACTGATTTCGCCACGGGTAGCCCTGCCTGGTAACACCTGCATGGCTGATATCATTAATTTTGATGATCTCAGCCAATCCAATGCTTTTCCATAAGAAAGCATTGGGAGGCTATGGCAAATGGCTGTGCTCCGACAATCAGCATCGTCTCATAGAGATGCATTAAATCAGTGCATCTGTATTGGGAATGTTCAATGCCTCCATGCAGAGCGTGGGGACACTGAATGTAGGTGTTGCACACTGTCTGAATGGTTGCCACTAGCGTTGTAACAAGCAAGCAATGTAAACACTGATTTTCTCTGAAAAGGCAGTGTTTACTGTGATAAGCCTGCAGGGACATCCTATAGACACCAGGGAATGATTATACTCACCAGAACAACTACTTTAAGCCATAGTTGTTCTGGTGACTATAGTGTCCCTTTAAATCAAATCGTATAAACTGCATAAAAGTTGTATTGGTCCCAGTTTATTGCACATGAATAATTCAGCCAGCATCAGAATGTCATGTAATGTTGGATAGCACCTTTCATTGGCTGCCTGATTGCATATAGAGTTTGTCTGGTAATAAATGCATAATTTGGCAACCCTTTAATTAATTGTACTTAAATATCCTGGTATTTAAAGCATGGGTATGTCAAACATCAGAAATGCCAGTCTAAAATATAGGATGTCACATTGTCCTAGTGACCTACTGATGGCTACATTGTCCATAGCAAGTTGCTGAGAAATATCTGATCATAATTAATTGTATGATTCAGGGGAATACATCTGGTTAAGGGTGTGGGAGATTTGAGAAAATGCATACCAGGACATGCAGAAATTTAAATCCATTTGGAATCATTTCAAATTATGATTCAGACAAAATGCAGAAGGAAGCCAATGGTAGACACGCACCCTCTCAAACAAATTAAATGGGTTTTATACATTAAAAGGGACACTGTAGGCACCTCTGCATGGGGACACCTAGCGTCAGATTTTTCCCCATAGAAAAGCGTTGATTTAATACTTTCCTATGGGGAGATCTAATGTGCGTGCAGCATTTGCTATGCATGCTCATTGCGGGATGTCGGAGGGGGCGGCATGTTGGCCCAGCACCGAGGGACACTGGGATCGGGTATGTAAATAACGAGGGAGGCAGGGAGAGCAATTGTTCCAGGACTACAGCTTTGTATTTCTGGCACTATAGTATCCCTTTAAACAATGAATTATGTGAAATGAAAACCAAACTGCTAAATTCTGGCTAAATGTCAAGCTGTAACTATAGCTGAGTTGGAGATTTGACTGTCTCCTTTCTATGTTCCTACATTTCTTACTATGTGCTTGTACTGTCAACAAAATTACAGGAATTTGATGATAACTGTAGACAGTTTTAAGAAAGAGGAAGGGAGCATATGGAGGGAAAAGACAGTTTAAAAAAGGATGATCAATCAAGAAGATTGTGGATTTAAACATCAAATTGTAGCAAGTGATAATCAAATTGTTACATTTATGATAAAATATTTAGTACATGGCAAGCAATGCACAGTCCCTTTACCACTTATAATGTTAAAATAACACTATAGCATTAGGAATACAAATCTATATTCCTTATGATATAGCGTTCCCATGCCTACTGGTAGGCAGGTCACCCAGGGGTGCAAAATAAAGCTAAAAAATAAAGATTTACTCACCTTCTTCCAGTACCAAGGCTCCCTCAACGATGCTCAGCTCTCCTCCCCAGCAACGTCATGGTGCAGGCTGGGTCTCCTCTGTGATATCCAATCGGGGACCTAATGTGCATGCGTGCATTCACACTTTCCCATAGGAAAGCATTGAATCACTTATTTCCTATTGGACTTCTGTATCACGTGACAGACTTTTACTCTGTCAGTGCCATAGAAGCGTGTCTATTGGCTGTCAGTATGACAGGTGCTAGAGCAGAAGTCAACCCTGCAATGTTAAATTGCAGTATCTCAAAAACTGCAGTGTTTTACATTGCAGGGTTAAGGGGACAGGGACACTATATCCAGCCCACTTTGTTGAGATGAAGTGGTCTGGGTAACTAAAGTGTTTCTTTAACTGCCCCTAAGGTACAGGGCATAACAGTTCCTAAAAAGTACGTATTATTCTATGGAGTCTGCAAGGAAGTAGGGATGTGCATGGGCCAAAAATTTGGTTCGGTTCGGACTTCCGAAATTAGGGGGTTCGGCAATTCCCTAACCCTACTCCTAACCCTAACCCCACCCCAACCCTAACCCCGCCCCTAGCCCAGCCCTACCCTAACCTAATAACCCTACCCCTAACCCCACCTCAACCCCAACCCTAACCATAACCCCTAACCCCACCCCTAACCATAAGCCCTCCCCCTAACCCTACTCCTAACCCAACCCTATCCTAACCCCATAACCCAACCCTAACTGTAGCCCCAATCTTCCTCTGCCCCTAACCCTACCCTTGAACCTAACCCTACCCCTACCTACCTAGTAGGGGTAGGGTTAGATTCCTGTCATCATTCCCTTAATTTTCCCTCCCCCTCCTCTTCTGCCACTTTTCAGAAATCCGAAGCACTTTGGTACTTCTGAAACTCAGCACTTCGGAAATTCGGTTTGGTTCGGCACTTCCAAAATTCAGCACTTCGGCAATTCGGTTCGGCACTTCCGAAATTCGGAAGCATCCGAATTGCCGAAATTCGTCCGAATTTAAATTCAGACCGAAACGAATTGCACATGTCTACAAGGAAGTTTCTCCATGGGACATGATGAGAGATACACAGGTGGACGTATAGCTACCCACTTGTTCATTTTCATACCACCTCTCAAGGTGTCAGTAAATAGGGACTTCAACTACATTATACCCATTTACCTATTGCCCAATCCACATTTAATAGGCATACAGGAAGGAGCTCAGGGATTCCTCATAGTTATCAGAGGCAATGGACTATTGTTTCACCAGGTGCACATTAAAGGAGCACTATAGTCAACATATAAAAGCAAGAAAGACAGGTTCCCTAGCCTTCTTTCTTGCTTTTATATGAACTTACCATTAATAAAAAGTAAATTCGAGCCCTTTTTATCATATAAACTTACCTCCATTGCAGCGCCGAGCTCCTCGACAGGCCGCGCCACCTTTTTCGTCAAAATGACGATGTAGCAGGGCTCAATTACTCACTCTCAATCTCACACTCAATCTCTCACTCACTCACACTCAATCTCTCACTCACTCACAATCACTCTCTTACACTCACTCTCAATCTCTCACTCACTCACAATCTCTCACTCACTCACACTCAGTCACTCACTCACACTCACTCTCTCATAAACTCACTCTCTCACACAATCATTCTCTCACAGAATCACTCTCTCACACATTCACAATCACTCTTTCTCTCACTCACACTCACTCACTCTCTCACACAATCACTCTCTTAAACAATCTCTCTCACTTACTCTTAATATCAAACTCTCACTCACTTACCCACACTCACGCACTCACCCACACCCACCCACACTCACTCACACTCACTCAATCTCTCACTCACAAACTCAAACACAATTTCTCACTCACACTCAATCTCTCACTAACTCCCACACACTCACTTACTCACCCACACTCAGTCACCCACACTCACTTACTCATTCACACTCACTCAGTCACTGCCACTGGAGGTGTTCATAGCTTCCAATGTAAACACTGTATTTTCTCAGAAAATACAGTGTTTACATGAGAGAGGCTGCAGGGAGCTATAGTTCTCACCTGAACACCCTCATTAAGCTGAAGTTGCTCAGGTGACTATAGTGTCCCTTTAGGTGAGAGATAGGAAGAAGGCTGTATGTATGGCAGAAAAAAAGAGAAGTCAAACACTATCCAGGTTAGTCATTGGAGTGAGAATTCAAAATGAATTTCACATTTAAGGCCAGAGTAGCCAAACTCAAAGCATAGCGACAGGTCTCTCCGTCTTTAGCTTTTATTCCTCATCTCTCAACATTCTATTTCCCCCAGCAGTCTGTATGGTAACGGTTTCTTTGCTCATTTTGTCTCATTCTCTCCAGTGTCTATTTTTTTATCAGTGTTTTCTGACTGGTTTTCTGCTTTTTTGTTCTGGTTTTTTTTTATGTCTGGATGGGTTAAGTTCACTAAACAGTATATTGTAGAGAGAGTTGAAAAATAAATTGAAAAAACTAGGTCAAAAGAGAAGAGCACAAAAGGCCTCCACCTCAGCTGAGCTGGATAATTGTTCTAACTCAGCTTTTTGGCCTACGGAAATATGTTTCTAAGACACTTTTCATATCATAATTTAGTGAAAAAAAACTCCCAAGAGTCAGTTTCTTTCTTTATCTCTTTCTTACTTTCCTCTTGCATATAAATACGTACATGCATTATCAGACACAAACAGTGCATTACACGTACATCTACACATGCATGGAGCCTTACATACACAAAGGCACATATAAACACACACTGTTTGAAACATATATTAGTTTCATATAGATACACATGAAGATCATAAATCCGAATATCCATGCATGCTCTTTACATGCATCCACACGAATACAATGCCTTATATATACATTAACATACACAACAACCTTTTCTGCTTATACTAAAAAGTAATAATACTCTTTTTACTTTATTAAAGAAATTCAAGATACAGCCCACAGCAGACATTGTTAAAATGCTAGCCTAAAACAACTGGAAAGATGTTTAATGACAGTAAAGCATGCCTTGTAAATAAAAAAACAAAACAAAAAAAAAACTACTGAGAATTTTTATTGAAAAACAAGTATAGTTAGCTATATGGTTGTATAAAAGTCTCACGATTAACAGTTACACTTTAAATGTATGTTACGAAAGCATACATGCAGTGTCATACAGACTAAAGAGAAACAATGAAGATTTGGAAACAAAATTTCAAAATGCCATGTTTGCCCCATCCAACTATAGGTTCAAACCCAGGGCATGTGGGACAAGCTGCACTGCCTACAGATTATTAACACAATGGGAGGCGTATCTCCTGATGCTGAATTTGACCTTGATGAGTTCAACAAAAAAGAGTCATGCCAGAAATTGATCAGCAGCATTACATCTTATGTGACCCAGGTGAGTTCTATATTTTTCCATCACTAATTCACACGGGACTGTCCTATTCTGATATGACGATTAAACCTATTTCCTGGTGATTCCAGTACTGTTGAAGCTTTCTGTTCATGGTTTATTGTTACTGTATCCTGTCCGCATTCCAAAGCACACAATGAAAAACTGTTGTTAAGCTTCCTGTTGGCTGGTCCCAAATTCTTTTTCACTTATTCAGTTTCATTAAGCACTTAATTTAAATACTTGTTGTGGGAGGTTGGGTAACATTGCACTGAAATGCCTGCCAAAAGGAGGCATCACACCAGTGTTTTTAACCCCAAAGAACCAAAGTTATTTTGAGATGTAACATATCTGTGACCAAGGCCTTTTTGGCACTTTTGTAATGTGTTTATTCTACCACAGTTTCTGCCTTTCTGTTCAAGTGCACCCAAAATATACATAATTTATTAAATAATACGTAGGGCTTTTGTTTTATACCCTAAATGGACACATAACACAATATCAAATCTGAATTAAATGTATTAAAAATGAAAAAAACTAAAACTAGTTTTTTTCTTTGTTTAACAATTCATAATTTCTACACAACAAGTGCTAAAGAAAACTAACTCAAAATAGATTCACTAACCTGTCCTGATTGTTAAAATGTCTTGTATGTCTAGAACTCCAATATTGTTTTTTAATTTAGAAAACAAATGTTGCGAGGCGTGAATTACGGTTTTAAAGCTAAAATTTGGCATGCTACTATTACAACTTTTATAGTAGTCACAGAATCTAAAAACGCTATGCAAAAGTATATATTTGTAGAACGTTAATTCCCCAGGCTATTTTACAACCCGGGCTGGATGGAGAGGAAAGGGTTAAATCTTACCTATTTTCCAGCGCTGGGCAGGGAGCTCTCCTCCTCCTCTCCCCTCTCTTCTCCTCCTCTTCGGCTGAATGTGCATGCGCGGCAGGAGCTGCGCGCGCATTCAGCCAGTCTATAGGAAAGCATTCACAATGCTTTCCTATGGACGCTGGCATCTTCTCACTGTGAAAATCACAGTGAGAAGCACGCAAGTGCCTCTAGCGGCTGTCAAGAGACAGCCACTGGAGGCTGGATTAACCCTATTATAAACATAGCAGTTTCAGAGAAAAGTTTATTAAAAAAAGGGTTAACCCTAGCTGGACCTGGCACCCAGACCACTTCATTAAGCTGAAGTGGTCTGGGTGCCTATAGTGGTCCTTTAAGTCTCTATTACACATGGGAATGCAATGCTGCTACAGTAACTGATATATGTGGCTACTTCGGGCCTGAAGATCATGATATGCCTGCTTTAACTACTGTGGGCCCACTGAAACAGTATAGGGGCCTAGTACTTGGTCCCAAACCAGAGGGAACCATGACATCTAGTCTATATCTTCTTTTTCATATGTTGTTTTTTTGCTCAACTTCTACATATAACCATTTAAATCCAGCCAAAACATGTATCATTACTTCAACTTATTTTCTCCTCACAAAAATAATGAATGCAATAGAGAAGATTTGCACCTTCAGCAGTTCTGCTACTTTCTACCTATCTCTCTGAGTGGACCAGCAGTTGGAAGGTCCTTTTTTGTCCAAACTTCCAGTTTAAAAGAAGAAAGAGTAAACACGAGACAAATGGCTTGCCATTCACTTTAAAGGTTGCTAGAAACCAAGGGCTGTCTGTACTTAGTGCCGTGTGGCCCCGGCAAATCCTATTGCTGAAAGTAAATAAAAATAGAGAAACCAGGTTAGGAACATTCTGTTGTTAAAGTGCTATCTTCTTTTCTACAGGTGGCAGGAAGTGTTATCCAAAGGGAAAAGGAGCTTGGTAAGTGTGGTGATCTTTTCATTGTAGTTGTAGTTGTAAGTAGACTAATTAAGTAACATGGATTTTTCTACTGCAAATTAAAGGGGCACTCCAGGTTGGAACTGAAAATATGCAAAAAAAAAAAAAAAATCAATCCAAAATAAAAGATCAAAAAATGTGCTTGAGACGCTATTAAAGTTCTCAAATGTTGTGCTAATTCCCACGCAGTACATTAATAGCCTTGTGCTTTGCCTCTGTCAGGAGATTATTTGGCCAATCACAAACTTCTCATTCTATTCTGGAGAATTTGAACTGTTAAATATATGTAACCCAGTGCTTCAAGTGCAAAATGGTAACTGGCTGTTTAACCCCTTAAGGACACATAACATGTGTGACATGTCATGATTACCTTTTATTCCAGAAGTTTGGTCCTTAAGGGGTTAAAGGACCACTATAGTGCCAGGAAAACATACTCGGGCTCTGGGGAGAGGAAGGGGTTAAAATATTACCTTTCTCCAGCGCCGGGCGGGGAGCTCTCCGCCTCCTCTCCTCCTCTTCGGCTGAATGCGCATGCGCGGCAGGAGCTATGCGCGCATTCAGCCAGTCTCATAGGAAAGCATTCATAATGCTTTCCTATGGACGCTTGCGTCTTCTCACTGTGATTTTCACAGTGAGAAGCACTGGAGGCTGGATTAACCTATTTATAAACATAGTTTATAAAAAAAATGGGTTAACCCTAGCTGGACCAGGCACCCAGACCACTTCATTAAGCTGAAGTGGTCTGGGTGCCTAGAGTGGTCCTTTAAACTCTTTTCAGAGAGTATAAATGCCAAATACCCTAGCCTAAATAAGAGATAACACACTCTCAAACTGCCTGTTTATCTTCACATTGTGCAGGGAAAATATATTTATTAGGAGATTTCAAAGCTCTCTGTGCTCAGCCTCAGTTCTGCTCATAGCAGGGGTTTCTGGGCATTTAGTTTTATTATAAGCTTTCTGCCAGCTGAATTACACTTCCCAGACACCTTTGCTGTGCTTCCTGATGACCTGTACAATGGTGATATTGGACACTGCAGGGTAGGTGAAGGGCAGCAAGTGAGCTGTTAAAATTAGTGCATATTACAGGAGCCAGTTAAAAGGAAGTATTTTAGAATGTGGGGGAGGGGGAATGAGAAAAGGAAGAATTAAGATGAAGAATAACAAACATATCTTTATGCTTAAAGATATAATACACAAAATTAAACATGCAAATCAGAGCTAAATATTTTGGTCAAATTAAAAAAAACTAATTGAAGGCCAAGCTTGTTAAACAGTTGTCAATTATCAGTTTGTTTTTTGTTTTTTTGTTTTGCTTTCCCGAAGGTAAAATGGTAATCCGGGTGGACCTCTTGCTGGGCCAGGAGCTCCTGTGCTCACTGTGCCTAGAGGGATATTGCTTATACCTCATTGATGAGGCCTAACATGGCTGAAACGATCATCTGGGGTTGCCGCATCTCTCATGCAGAGGGAGCTGGCCTGTATTTTGGACTTGTATTGTCCTTTTGAGTGGGATCAGTCTAATATATAAATAGTTTACACTCTCTCTGTAATGGTACAAGATGAACTAAAACAAAAAAATAATATTATTCGCTTACATTGGGAAGACGGCAGGGGCTTCTGTGCTCTCTCTGTGTTACTCCCAAGCCGGCTTCTCTCTACTGTGGGCACTGTAAGACCACCCTCTGTGACTATTAGCCAATTTGTCCTCTGAATAGAGAGGCCAATAGCATGCTTTCACACTTTGGCAATTCACTGTGAGGCTCTTGAAATTCCTCTTAAAGGACACTGGGCATGAGCAAAACCTGCTGAAAAAGGGCATATTTAACATTTGTCCCATTTTGACATGCCTAGTTGTACTCAAAAAGCTTCTCCAAACAGCCTACATTGAGGGATAGGGACCCTGAATACTTAAATACTTTGTATTGTAATTTGACACACACATAGGCAGTGGTTGGAGTATGTTAATCAACATTTTCCCCAGTTATTTTAGCTCCTGCCCCCCACCCCCAGAAAAAGATTCTTCATGTTTCTAAACTATTACAAATAACATTATTCCCACATCAAAGTGCCCCTATGCCTCTACAGCTCTTTAACATATGTCCCTGAAATACTGTCATTACATTCTGTACATAATGATTAAGGCACAGCTCTGCATTTGCACTGCTATAGCTTGTGATACTGCTTTACAGTTCTATAATTAGAGGGTTCAGAATAAACTCTTGGTAAAATTAGAAGCAAGGCATTTATTGTTTGGTATTTAAACACTGTTGGGGAGCTCACATCCATTTCTGAAGTCTGGTCTATTTATATTTATTATGGTTTCCTGTATTTGTAGATGTCAGAAGGAGGAACAACACTTATCCCACTGATATAATACCATCCAGAGGAAACAACCCCAAATCATCAGCTCACCTTATGCTCCAAACCAGCTCCCGTCTAGGTCAGTCTGTCTCTTGAAAACTGACAGATAATTAAGAAGTATATTTTTTGCCTAAAGTATTTGATTGCTTAATAATCTCTTGGAATAGATGACTAATTTTTGGAATTATCTCTCTTGCATGAGCAGCGGACTGACAAGGTTATTCACTAAAGTGAGAACTGAAATTCAAATTTAATTTTTTTTTTCCAACTCAACGATGTTATCAAATGGGCTACATTTCCTAAAAGATTTTAATTCACTTTGAATTCTCACATTAGTAAATAACCCTGTGAGGATGTCCGGTCTCACAGGTGTAAAGATGATTTGAAAAGTTGACCTTTTTTTTAATCATAAAGGAGCGTTTAAAATTTATTTGGTTGGTTTTGTTTTTTTTGTAGTGCGAGAAATATCTGGTGATGAAAAATTGGCTTCCACATCCTGTCGCTTCCCAATACAAACATGGGATGATAGCAATTCATTATCCCATATACAAGGAATTAGTTATAAGAATGGTCGCCTAAAAATTCTTCAAGATGGGAAATACTATATTTATTCCCAAATTTATTTTCGATTTCCTCAGGAGACATCTGGCACGTCTCCAGCAGACAGCCATCACCAGATGGTACAGTGTATCCATAAGAAAACATCATATATCAAACCCATCTTGCTTCTTAAAGGGGTTGGCACCAAGTGTTGGGAACCAAACGCATTGTATGGACTGCATTCCATCCACCATGGCGGCCTATTTGATTTGAAATCTGGTGATGAGTTATTTGTCTCAGTCTCCTCATTGGAGTTGGTCTATGCAGAAGGTGCTTCATCATTTTTTGGAGCTTTCAAATTAGATCTGTGAGACTCGCAAAAGTTCAACATCTGAAATTCTGGATTGTGTAATAAACAAAATACGTTTTTATGCACTGATGTTTCTTGGAACAAGTCAAAAAAACATGGACTGCTGCTGGTATGTCTGCGTAATGAAGGATCATGCATTCTGCACTAGTGAAAACTCTACCTGTGATTTCATGAAAATAAAGAAGGGACAATTTTTAAAACTTTATTTTTTTCAAGGGAAAAAAACACTGCAATCCTACCATTATTTATCATAGAAAAATGGAAGATTTGCTGTTTTGTCCTAGTCATTTGATTTTGATGAACTCTTAAAATTTTTTCTTAGAGACGGCATGTAGATGAATAGGCTTGATCGATCATCTGGAGTTGCTGTATCTTTCATCCAGAGGGTCCGGCCTGCATTTTGATTTCGTACAAACTTTTTTGGTGGGATCAGTCTGATATGCAAATGACTACAGGTTCTCCCTGTAATGGCACAAAATGAGCTAAAAAACACTGTAGTGTT